TGGTGCTTCAGGCTCACCACCTGCTCCTCGAAAACCCTATACAGGGTCACTGTGCGTCAGAAATGACTCAACGGCACTTAACAACAACAAAAATGACTAATGACCATATGTATGAACATAAGTGAAAGTTACTAAGATGCCTTAAGTTAATTTCAGTCTCATGTTAGTATTATTACAGTAAAAGGATCTATGGAATTCTTAGCAAGCAGAAGAAATAATTGCAGAAATTAATAAAATTAAAAATAGAAAGCATATTAAATAATCAGTGAAACCAGTGGTTGGTTCTTTAAAAAGATGAATAAAATTGGTGTACTGTTAGCTAGACTGACAAACTAAATAACCGCACAAGTTACTTTACTGTCTTTACGGATAGTACAGACTCTAAGAAGGCAGATGACAGGGAATGCTGTGAACAACTGTACTCAAAGAAATATGACGCGCTAGATGAAATGGACTTATAAAGCCCCATGTCTCCACAAGTAATTGTTGATGTTGTATGTGTTCAGTGTTGTTGAGTCAGATCCGAGTCATAGTGACCTTGTATAGACAGGATTTCCAAGAAGTGGCTGGTGAGTTTGAACCACTGACTTTGTAGTTCAAACCAACCTTCAGTCCCATGCTATATCCCATAAAACCACACCAGGACTCCTTATAAGTAATAGATAACTAATAGATCTATATCTGGGTGGTTTTTTAGGGTTTTTTTTCAATGAATTTCTAGTTTAAAACCTTCCGAAAATTTTCCATTCTCAAATAGTTTTCACTGGCAAAACTGCCAAGCATTTAAAGAAGAAATGACAGTTCTACACCATTTCTTGCAGAAAGTGTAAGAGAAAGGACCATTTGAGACCACCATTACTCTGAAACCAAGACCAGGAAAAGACATCACAAGAAAACGGTAGACCAACTCTCCTGAACATGACCGCAAAAACCTTCAACAAAATGTCACGAAATCAAACCCAGCGATCTAGAAAAAGAACAATACAGCACAGTCGAGTGCAGTTTATCCTGGGAATGGAAGGCTGATACTGTATTTGAAAATCAGTCAGAATAAAGGAAAAAAAGCACATCATATTAATACATGCAGCTTAACATTCCTTCATAATGATAGTTCTCAAGCTGTGAAATTATGTATAAAAGGCATCTTCAGAACTTAGGGCTAGCTAATATTGTACTTTACTGTGAACATTTGAATGCTTTTCCCCTGAGATTTATAAAAAGGCAAGCATGCCCATGCTCACTACTCCAATTCAACATCATACTAGAAATTCTAGCCAGTTCAGTAAGGCAAGAACTGAAATTAAGGATTGGAAAGATAGAAAGAAAGAAAGCTGTCTTTATTTGCAGACAGCATGATCATGTAAAACTTACAAGAAATTTATAAAAAATGCAAATAGAAACTCTTAGAACTAATAAGTACATTTAGCACACAAGACTGGCATACAGAAATCACTTCTGTATTTCTGTATATTAGCAATGAACCTGGGAACAAAAACTTCTCTGATATTTAAGAAACGTCATTTATGTAGCAACCCCCTTTACAAGAGCTCCAAAAAATGTGAAATACTTAGGTGTGGCTCTAACAAAACATGTGCAGGATCTTTATGTTGAAAGTTATAAAACTCTGAGGGGAGAAAAAAATCAAAGAAGACCTAAAACAGTAGAGAGACAGACGTATACTGTGTTCATAGATTGAAGACCCCGTATAGTTAAACTGTAATGTTCCCTGTCTTAATCTACTGATGTAATACAGTTCCAATAAAAATCCAAGCAAGAATTTTTATAGCTAACAACAATCGAATTACAACATTTACACGTAGAGTTAAAGGAGCTTTAATAGCCTAAACAATTTTTTTAAAAGAATAAACTTGAGACTCCCACTACTTGATTTTAAGACTTAACTATATATGGTATTAGGGAGCTCTGGTAGCGTAGTGGTTACGAATGGGGCTGCGAACCTTAAGGTCAGCGGTTCGAAACTACCAGCCGCTCCGCGGGAGAAAGATGAGGCTTTCTACTCCCGTAAAGATTTACACCCTTGGAAACCCTGTACAGGGTCGCTATGGGTCGGACCCGACTCGATGGCACTGAATAACAACAACATATATGGTATTAATGTAGGATCAGCACTGGACTGTGAACCACAAGTTCAGTTGTTCAAACCCACCAGCTGTACCCTGGGAACTGCTATGGGTCGGAATCAACTCTACACCTCCAACAATAGCTATGTAGATCAATGGACAGTTGTTGTTGTTATGTGCCATGGAGTCAGTTCCTACTCATAATGACCCTGTACAAGATTTCTGAGGTTGTAAATCTTTACGGGAGCAGAAAGCCTCATCTTTCTCCCTCGGAACAGCTGGTAGTTTTCGAACTGCTGACCTTGCGGTTCGCAGCCCGATTCATAACCACTAAGCTACCAGAGCTACTTAATGGACAGATAGTTTTCAGAAATAGACCCATTCAAATTTTATGTATTTGAAGGTGATGGTGAATTTGAGCAGTTAGAGGGTTTTTTTGTTTTGTTTTGTTTTAATTAAACTTTTACTCTGAGATCAAAATTTTAAACTTTAATTATTTAAAGGATATTTATAAGAGAATGAAAAGACAGGTAAATTAAGAAAAAGTATTTGCAGGTCACACTTTCAAAGAAGGATTTATATGCAGTATGTACAAATCTCAAAAGCTAACAAAGAAAATAATGAACTCAAATTTTTTTTTTAAATGGGCAAAGGACATTTCACCAAAGAAGGATACATGAATAGTTCAAAAATACGTGAAAAGTTCTATTTTATTGGTTACTTGTTCTTAAGTGCTATTGAGTCAGATAAATTCACAGTGACCCTGCCTAGGTTTCCAAGGAATGACTGGGTTTGAGCCGCCAACCTTGTGGTTAGCATTCCAGTGCTTATCCTACAGCACCACACCAGGACTCCCAATTTTTAGCCAGTAGGGAAATGCAAATCAAAACTATAATGAGTTATCTTTACCCACCTGTTACAATAACTAAATACAAACAAACAACAAAAAGAATTATCAATATAAAGTGTTGGTGAGAAGGTAGGACAATCATGGGGGCTTATGAAGACGTTTTCAGAAAATTGAATATTGCAATGGTGAGAAAAAGGCTAAGACAGTTAAACTGAAGGATTTTTGTCTGTCATGACCATGTACCAGTCTTGGAAAATAGCAAGGGCTGTTCTACCAGAATTTCATTGAGAAGCCTTACCTCATTCACCCCAAAACTCTGATCTTGCCTTTCAGAGTGCTTCTAAAACTCAGCATTTCAAAGGAACATGATTTGAATTCCTTGTGGACATCAAAAGTTTTGTTTTGACGTGGTGTAAATAGAAAAGTGCAGAATTCTTTGGAGAATGGTTGTATTGTTGTGTGCCATCTAGTCGGTTCTGACTCATAGCCACCCTGTATAGGATTTCCAAGAGCAGTAGGTGGGAAGAGTTAGAGAGATGGAAATACTGCCCTCAGAAGTGTATAGACCTAGATAGAGGATATGTCAAGAAATTAATGACTTCACATTTTGATATATTTTTCAGTAAAGGCTTATATGATTTTGTAGCAATATTTTTTTACTTACCCTCATATGTACTTACGATTCTATCTCTATGACACCCCATTCTGGGCAAGACAAAAGTATAGCAATGGTGGAATCTGTGTTCAAGTTGCCAGGAGTTAGAGCTCAAGAGGGTGTAAACACAAAGGGGCAGCAAAGGGAGTGTTTGTGGGTGATGGAGCAACTGCATCCTGGTTGTGGTAAGCCTTTGTCTGAATTAAAACTCGCACGTTTAAAGTCAGTGTTATTATTATGTCCCAGTTTATAAGGTCAGATAATTGTATAAATAACGTATATATGATCAAGCATCATTTATTGTGGAGGATGCTAGAAAATGAGACAAATAAAATGCTAGATTACTAAAACATTATTCTTATTTCATTATGTACATTGTTGGAGACCATTTAACAAACTTTTATGACAGTGACTGCCAAAAACGCTAATGTAGTTTTAAGCTACAGTGGTGGAGATTCCATTTTTGGACAAAGGTAGTAGTCCCTCAGTATACAGTCAGTCCCTGAGTTATGAATGTGGCTTATGGTAAATTCCTACATGCCCTTTAATAAATTTGCTCTCACTTTGAAACAATGGAACCACCCCTACAACAAAAACAACCCACTACCATCTATCTGGTCTGTTCAAACCAGCCCTTGCTCACAACAAATTCTTCATCCCATTCCTCTTCAGTTGCTGCCTGTGCACCTTTAAGCCTTTGAAAGGCTTCAATTCTATTCTTGCAGTAAAACCCAGTGCCATCATGTTGGTTCTAACTCATATCGACCCTATATAGGATTTCTGAGGCTGTACCCACCGTGGGGTTTGTAGTCTGGTGCTTAACCCACAGCACCACTAGGGTCTGTGCAGTAAGTGCTGGACTGTAATCCACAAGGTCAGTGGTTCAAGCCCACCAGCTGCTCTGCAGGAGAAAGATGAGGCTTTGTGCTCCTACAAAGATGTGCAGCCTTGGAAACCCTGTACAGCATCTCTATGAGTCAAAACCAACTCAGCAGTATGCACCTGCTCTGATTACCTACAAATTCTAAACATTGCAGCAATGTTTCTGTGTTATTCAGCTGTCTTACAGAGAATTTCTTCGCTTCTAGAGCCCATATTTCATGGAAGAGGAACAGACTAATAAGGAAAGTAGAAAATTTAGCTTTCAAAAGGAAAATTGTGAGGGATGAATCCATGTGCTTCTCTTTAGAGGATTGAAAGGTGGTAACGTAAAAGAAAAGCTTGAATTAAAGTACAGCTCTAGAGAAGAGATTCTGTTTCAACACATGGAAAAATAGTACCATTCAGCATTTTTTCATTAAAATAATGATGTAGTGAAAACAAATATTTTGACTTTGATAGTTTTGTTAGAGAGTCACCTACCTGTGGAGTAATAAATGCACATCTTCTGTCTGTGTTTGTTTTCTCTGAATAGGGTACTGTGAAACAAGCTTACACAAATGCCCCAATGGTTGACAACGAGTTACTACGATTGAGTCTGAGGCTATTTAAACGGAAGACTACTTGCCACGCCCCAGGACATGAAAAGACTGAAGATAATAAACTTTCACAGTCCAGTATCCAGCAGGAAGTGTGTGTGTCTTAAAATTGAAGCTCAGTCTCACCTTGTGGTACTGTCTTCCTTGCATATTGTGCTTCACAGTTCTCTGGCTTGTCAAGCATTGTTCGGGAAAAAGACGAGTTTATTAGCCACACTTGAAGAGTAGAGAACTTTAAAGCTGAAAGACACAAGTTTTGGCTAACTTAGAGTTTCCATTAATTTTCACAAGTACTTGTAACACAAAATAATGTGAAAGCATCTAGATGTGGTAGTTTGTTCTGCACCTTTTGTTAAAACGGGAGATTTTGGATAGTGATCGTTGCTGCTCCTCAGCCTACAAACAGATTTTATGAAATGGAGCCACTGAATGATGTTCCGGATCATCCATCCCGAAAAGGTGGTTACTCAGCAGCATTGTGTTTGTTAATAAATGTGCGTTGTTCCACTGTATATTGGCCATATTTGGATTGTGTTTTTCTGTGATCCGAAATTGTTAACTATTATTATTATTAAATATATCTTCCCTTTCCTTATTCTAAACTTCTTATTCTTCATTCATCTTATTCCTAATGTTCTAAAACATTTGTCATCAACAGTACATTTCATGTTTCAAATATTTTATTGTTCATATGTGACTATTGGAGAACTGTAAATAATGTGTAAGAGAGGTGCTTCCAATGGAGTTCTGTGACACTTGAAACAAACAAATTCTCCCAGTTAACATTATATAGCTATCTTTCTAAATATTACATTTAAATTGTCACTTGGACTTTTCCTCTTTAACCTGTGCTTTAAAGTCTATTCTTATTTTTCAGCTTCTCGCTATGGAGAGTATTATATCATAACTGCTAAATATGTAGAAGCCTATTTTAATCTTCTTTACCCTAAAAATGTTTGATTACGTTAAACTGCCTCCAGCCTATAATATGTAAAACAGACTTGCTTCTTACAAATTGCAGTAGACCTGCTTTGTTCTATGTGTACATATTTAGCTTATGAAGTAGACTCATGGAAGGAACTGAAAAGGGCTCCAAGTTGGGAGAATGGGTGGGGAGGCAGTAATAATAAAAGATGCCAATCAAAATTAGTATTTTATCATTCCCTCTCCCAGGTTTTTGTTAACTGTAATGTTGCATTACTTGTCTCAGGACCCTTGTTTCATTTTCACTAAAGGTACGTGTGATGTCACTGCTGTTACATTTCTGTTGATTTCAAGAAACATTTTTTGTGCAGTTTATTTGTACAAGACATTTCATCAACAAAGGAAGTGGTCTTATTTACAAGTACTTTGAAAGCACGTATAAGAAACTTGCTAAAAGGACAACAGCAGGAAGAAATCAGACTTTTCTAGTGTCTTTTTCCTTGTTTACCTTTGCAAAATGTTTAAAAATAAGACAAGATTAAGCTATTTAATGACTCCTTCAGAAATGTCTTCTTTATTCTAGTAGGTAATACTGTTCTATGTCTCATAAGGATTTAAAAGTTCTAGAACCTAGTTCCCAGAACTCTGGAATATGACCAAAAATGGTTTTCTTTTTGCCCACAGACTAGGAAAAATTTCTGTTAATTATTTATGAAAGGAAAATATTGAAGTTAATTCATATAGTTAAATCTGTTGCTTTTCTATCTTTGAATATCTTTTTGTTGCATTGTGAAAGAATATTTTAGACTACTGTTTGCTTGCTCATAGTATCCGTAGCTTTGTGTTCTTAGTGAGACAATACTGTGAAGTCTCATGATTTTTTTTTTTAATTAAATCATTCTTAGAGCTATGAAGTTCTTACAAAGCAAATCTTATAACTGAATTTTTCATAAAAGCTCTTGGGCCATAATTAAAGTCTCAATTAAAACAGTATTACTAAAAACATCAGCTTGCAGTCTAGAAATTATTTGCTAGTAGCAGTTCTTCTGTCTCATAGCTGTTGGATCTCATAGCTTATTTGTCCATTTGCCATCATTTCACAGCTGTCCCCAAGCTAGTGGTAACATAGAGTTTTCTAAATAGAGAAGGTACAAAAAAATTAAGAGAAATGATTCAACTACTTTGAGCTTTTTGGCAGTTACCCTCCCCATTTAGTTAAGTGTTGTACTAAAATTAACTGCATTTGTAAGTGGTGTTGTTAAGTGCCATAGAGTCAGTTCTGACCCATAGTAACCCTGTAGAGGGTTTCCAAGGAGCGACTGGTGAGCTTGAACTACCGAACCTGCAGTTCAAACCGACATTGCAGTCTAGCACATTAACCCACAGCGCTACACTGTACCTAAGTAATAATATGCTGAAAAAGCTACACTCATCACTTCTCTTTATTCTGATTGGTAATAAAGGCTTTTCTTCACCATAACTACAACTCTCAAATTTTATTACATCCTTATTAGCATGAAAGTTTTTGGCATCAGAAACATGTTCATCAGTATTTTTTACTGTCAAGAGTTTTGTATAGATTAAAGTATGTACTATCTAGATTGTTTGTGTTGCTCGTAAACTTAAGGAGAGCTATCAGCTGGACCTCAGCTTGTTACTTAAAAAGCTCTGAATCAGAGCTCAACTAGAAGAAGAAAGAT